GCGCGCACACACACACGCGCGCACACACACACACCTCCCTTGGCCAGGCTAAGCTGAGCATGTTTTTCTTTTCTTTTTTTTTAATATATATTTTATTTATTTACTTTTAGAGAGAGAGTGCGTGAGTGGGAGGAAGGACAGAGGGAGAGGGAGAGAGAGAGAATCCCAAGCAGGCTCCATGTCCAGCGCAGAGCCCGATGGAGCTCGATCTCATGACCCCGAGATTATGACCTGAGCCGAAATCCAGAGTCGGACACCTAACAGACTGAACCACCCAGCCCCCCCCCCCGCCCCCGCGCATGTTTTTCAAACAATCTGCAGCCACTCCTTGAAGCTCCCTCTTTCCTGGAAGGCAGGGAACAGGAGCAAGTTATTTTATTCCTACTGTACAGATGGGGAAACTGAGGCTCAGAAATGAACAGTTGCCCCAGCATACGTCACTAGTTAGGTCCTGCAGCCATAAGCACACCAAACCTCCAGAAACATCCAGCGCTCAGATGGGGACAGACCAGAGGTGGTCAGGCAGCTGCAGTGAGCTGTGAGCTGACCATGTACTGCACATCCTGCATCATGCCCACCACTCTGCAGGCAGTATCTCACCCAAAACTCACAGCACTCCATTGAGGTAGGCACCTCTCTTAGCATTCCAACTTTATACACTGAGAGGGACGGGGAATGAGAGGTTAAAGCAGCCTGCCTGGGAGCTGGCAATGAGCAGGGTGGAACTGGAACTCAGGTCACCTTCCTCCTGAAAGCCATTTCCCTGGAAGGCGGTGTGCAAGTGATGGTAAGTGGTGCACCGAAAAACACTTTCCTTTTATTATTTATTTACTTTTTTATTGTGGTAAAATATACATAACATAAAATTCACCCTTTTAAACATTTTTAAGTGTACAGTTCAGTGACATCAAGCGACCATCACCACCATCCATGTCTGGAACTCTTCACATCTTTCTAAACTGAAGGTCTCCACCCATGAGCCACTAACTTCCCAGTCCCCTCCCCCAGCCCCTGGAAGCCACCATCTGTCTGTCTTGGCGAGTTTGATTATTCCAATATTTCATATAAGTAGGATTATACTTTGTCTTTTGTGACTGGCTTATTTCATTGAGCATAATGCCTTCAGGATTCCATGTTGTGGCAGGTGTCAGAATGTCCTTCCTTAAGGCTAAATAATATTCCATTGTATGGACGGACCACATTTTATTTACCCATTCATCTGTCTATGAACACTTGGGTTCTTTCCACCTTTTGGCTACTATGTCTAGTGCTGCAATGAACATGGGTGTTCGAGCCCCAGCTTTCAGTTATTTTGTGTTACGTACCCAGAGGTGGAGTTGCAGGATCATAATTTTATCCTTAAGTTTTTGAGGAAATGCCATATAGTTTTTTGTATGTTTTTAAGTTTTTATTTAAACTCTAGTTAGTTAACATACAGTGCAATATTGGTTTCAGGAGTAGAATTTAGTGATTCATCAGTTACATACAACCCCCAGGGCTCATCATAACAAGTGCCCTCCTTAATGGCCATCCCCCCTCTAGCCCATCCCCCACTCACCTCCCTCCATCAACCCTCAGTATGTTCTTTAGCGCTAAGAGTCTCTTAGAGCTTGTTTTCCTCGCTGTTTTTCCCCCCTTCCCCTGTGTTCATCTCTTTTGTTTCTCAAATTCCACATATCAGTGAAATCCTATGGTATTTGCCTTTCTCTGACTGACTTACTTTGCCAGACTGTTTTTAATAGTGCTGCACCATTTTACATTCTCACCAGCAATGCTCAAGGCTTATAATTTCTCCACATTCTAGCCAACACTTGTGTTTTTATGATAGGCCTCCTAATGGGTGTGAGGTGGTATCTCACTGTGGTTTTGATTTGCATTTCCCTGATGACTAGTTGATGTTGCACATGTCTTCAAGTGGTTATTGGCCACTGTATATCATTTTTGGAGAGATGTCTATGTAAGTCCTTTGTCCACTTTTAATCAGGTTGTTTCTCTGGTGTCCAGTTGTAGGTGTTCTTTATGTATTAACTCCTTATCAGAGATATGATTTGCAAATATTTAATCCATGTTTTGGGCTGCCTTATCACTGTGTTTATAGTGTCCTTTGATGCACAGAAGTGTTTAATTTTGATATAGTCCAAATTATCTATTTTTGTTGTTGTTGACTCTGCTTTTGGAGTCATATATATGCAAGAATCCAATGTCATGAGGATTTTCCAGTTTTTTTTCTAATAGTTAATGTATTTGCTTTAATATATTAAAATGAGCACTATAAACATCATTTAACAGATGTTTTATAGTATTTTTATTTTTTTAAAGATTTTATTCATTTATCTTTAATGATAGAGAGAGAGAGACAGAGAGAGAGAGACAGTGAGAGAAGGAACACAAGCAGGGGGAGTGGGAGACGGAGAAGCAGGCCTCCCACTGAGCAGGGAGCCCGATGCGGGGCTCGATCCCAGGACCCTGGGATCATGACCCGAGCCGAAGGCAGACGCTCAACGACTGAGCCACCCAGGCGCCCCATAGTACTTTTAGTTTAAAAAATTTATGACATTAATTTAAACAAATATACCAAGTTAAGTAATAGCAGAGTTTTGTATGCATCTTGTAATGGGTACCCAAATGCTTGGTGTTTGGCAAATAGTGTATTACACTAAATTACAGTCTATTAGATATATCTATTTCTGTACACAGTGTTAAAGAAAAAAATATTCATGACACTTGACACGAAGGTAAGGCAGACTTTATTCAGGGGGACCACTGCGACAGTCTTTTTTCTAATAGTATATTGTGACAGTTATAGGAACTACTATATTGGAGTTTTGCCGCAGGGGAGGAAGGATGGGATCAATGCCCAATACAAAGCAGACTGGGAATTTATAGCCGAGGAGTGTGATGCGGGCAGGGGAAGGTCGGTGGGTGAAAAATTACTAGCAGGAAGCGTCTGGGGTGAGGGACAATTCTTTCTAAATCAGCCTAACGGGATTCTTGCTGAAGGCAGGCCGGGTGATCAGACATCACCTGGGGGAATGTGGGTAATGAGAAGCCCCATCAGATATTGAGGCTGATCAGGTCTCAAGGATAGGGGATTCTGGCAAACTGACTTAGCAGGATTCTTGCTTAAATTGGACAATGCAGAGACTAACATGGAAGCCCCAAAGTCAGGGACTAGTTGAGAAGAGAGTTCAGGGGAGCCTAAGCGCAGTTTGGTCAAGGAGAGTATCTGTCACTAGATTGTAGGCTAAGCTTTCCCTCATGACCCAACGGTGGACTCAGCATCTGAAAGAGCAGCACCAAGTACAAACACCAGTGGTACTGGAATCAGACGACACAGCACATCATTTAATCTAAACTGCAAGTCCGAAAAAAAAAAGTTTTTAAGGTAGAGATCGTCATACAGGTTCATGACAGCACCTTATTTTCAATTCTGAAATGCAAACAGTTCTAAAAATTCGTTCTTCCTAAGTTTTCGCAAACTCACGTAAATATGAGACTATTTAAAGCCGCTGTATAGCCCACTTAGGGTGAATATTTGTGAACATTCACACATTTTGCCACAGAAATATTGTGTTTGATTATAGGATGTTATCCCAGGCCCTGCTGAAGGTGTTTCACACGATATATATACTGCCCTTCAAAAAAAAAAAAAAAAATCCTAGATTCTTAATTCCAAAAACACATCTGGCCCCAAGGTCCCCCCAAGTTTATTGAGATATAACTGGCATAGAACATTGTAGAACTGTAATGATTTGATATATATTTATTTATTATATTTGATATATATTTATGTTGCAAAATGATTACCATAATAGGGTCAGTTAGCACATCTGTTACCTCACACTAATAGTTAATTTTTTTTTATGCTGAGAACTTTCAAAATCGACTCTCAGCAAACTGAGGTAGCTGAGCCACCTAACTCGCCAAAGCTCATGCGGCAAGTAGTCCAAGGGAGGGGGGCTCACTCGTTTCACCAGAAGGGCTCAGAATTGGGCGGAGCCACCAAGGACGTCTTCACTTGCAGCAGCACACTCGGTGACTCGAGTAACAGAAACACAGCCAGAAGTCTGGAGACTGGCGGGCACTTAGTTGTGGGTTGGTTCGGAAGCTCAGAGTGTTCGGGCCTTGGTTCCTTCCTCCTTTCCAGCCGTCCTCATGGGGGCAGGAAGGCTGCAGCAGCTCCGGGAAGCGGACGCTTGGGCGGGAGAGAACGCGGCGCCCACGCACCCTGTCTCTGTCCACCACTCGGTCCCGGCGCCCTGCCCTCCGCAGACCAGCTTTACTCCCCGCTGGCCACAGCTCGGTGGGCTGCCGCCGCCGGCCAGCCACTGCCAAGGGGCTCGGCTCATTAACAGGAGTGCCGTACGGCCCGGTCTGGGCCGGGACTGCCTGCTCCGGGCCCGGCTCCCTGAGGACGCGGGCGCAGCGGAGCCACGGGCGGCGAGGCCTCCACTTCCCCTCTGCACAGCCCTCCAGCCTGCCGAGGAAGCCCCCGCCCAGGGCAACCCCCGGCCGGAGACCCGGAGCCGCCCCAAGGCCGCCGCCTCCCGGAAGTGCGGCCACCTCCGCGGGACTGCAGCTCCCAGAGACCCGCTCCCCCCAGGCTCGCCCACGCGGACTGGCTCGCCGCGCCATCCGTCCGCCAGCAGCCACCAGCCACAGGAAGACGGCTGCCGACGGCGCTCAGCGACCAGTTACGAGAGCGAGGAGGCGGGAGCTTCCCCCAGGCGATCCACCGCCTGTAGACGAGTCGTGGCGGGACGCTAACGGGGTGGGTTCCTCGGAGTGGCCGGAGAGGTGACCGGCTGGCCCTCCGCGAAGCGATGACCTGGGACAGAAGCCCCCTCTCGCCGGGAGCCTCTGGTCCTCGCTACGCCGGCCTGCAGCCCCCGCGGGCCCCGCCCCGTCGGTCTTCGCCCCGCCCCCCATCTTTCATTGGCTCCCCGCGGACACGTGGGGAAGGAGGCGCGGCCTCAGTGGTTTCGGCCCGCGCTCGGCGTTCGGTGGGGATGAGAGGCCCGCGAACTCGGGCTTGGGGCCGCATGGACACCCTGGTGCCGGGTCGGTGGCGACGGCGGAGGGCGGAGGAGCTTCAGGTTCCGGGGGACGCGGTGAGCCCCCCGGGGCCTGGGCGTGAGGAACGGGATGGCGGAGTCCCTGGGCATGCCCCGCTGGGCCTCGCGTCCCCCCGGGGGCCTTCCCGGGAGGAGGCCCGGCCGGGGTCACGCCCGCGCCCTCCTGGCGGGGTGGGTGGGGCCAGGGCCGGGGGGCGGGGTCAGGGGCGCGGCCGCGGCGCTGCCCCCCCCCCCGCCCGCTTCCGTCCGCGCCTGCGCGCGGATGCGGGAGCGGGGCTCTTGTTGCCCACTCTGCGAAGGACCTGAGCCAGTGTCGTTGGCAGTGTCCCTGACCCGTGAGCGGGCTCGGGGTGTGCGCGCTGCTGCTCGCGAGTCACGGCCCCGCGTGCAGGCGCCGGACCGGGCGGGGTGGGGCTGCGGGGTGAGCAGACGCGCCGGGGTGGAGTGCTTGGAGCGCAGAGATCTGGGCGCGGTGAGGTGAGGTGACTGGTGGGGGGGGTGCCGATCAAGGTCCGGCGGGAGCTGGACCTGCGCGGTCAGGCCTGCGTCAGACTGGGAGGGAAGCAGGATGGGAGACCGGGAATCGCTTAGCCTTTTAGGGAGCTGGAGGAAGTCCCGTCGGGGGGGGCAGCGCTCTGTGACTTCCACCTCTGCTTGCGAGTTGGCGGGTTCTCACCCCACCTCCTTTATTTCTCGGTTCCTTGCTAAGAGCACCAAGGAGCCGCCAGCCTTCCCAGCATCGAGTTCTTCTGCTTCTTCTGCGCCTACAGGCTTGGTAAGCCTGGAATCTGCCCCCTGAGTTAATGCAGGTACTGTTTTCTCAGATGTTTTGCACGGCATAACAGAAGTGGCTAGTCTCCTTCCCTGAATGAGCTTCCTCACCCCCCACTGCCTGACCACGAAGCCGCTGTCACTTAGGCCCTGTCACAGAAGCACCCCACTTCCAGGGTCCATGTTACCAGGGCACAGGTTAAGCTTCTGTAACGGAGGCTTCAAACCACATTGGCTCCAACGAGGTGGAAGCTTGATGCTGCCGCTCATAATGTGTGAAGGTGAGCAGTCCAGAGCAGTGGAACGGGGACCCTAAGTACAGGTATGGGGCTGGTGCTACCAGAGCAGAGACATCCCGGGACCCAGATTCCTCCGGTCTCCTGGCTCCTGCAGTCCCCAGTGTTGTCCTCTTATGCGAGGTCAGCGCTAGGTCATCACTACATTGCTCACATTCCATACGCTGGGAAGTAAATAGTAAAGTGACATGATCATACTGACATTTTAAGAGCTTATTCTGGGAACTCTGGGGAGAATGAAGGGTATGGTGGTCAGAGTTGAGGCAGGGAGGCAAGCAGTGTCTGGATTACGAGAGGTGACAGGCTTGGACAGAGAGGACCGTGAGACAGTGAATGTCCACAGAAGGCTCTGTATATTGCAGGAACAATGCACAGGTCTTGCTGATGGAGTGGATGTGGAAGGTCCTGGAAGGGGAGGAGTCTGGGCTGGCTCCCAGGGCTGTGACTGGAGCACCTGGGTGGGCAGCGGTGCCGTTACTGAGAGAAAATTGGTGTGGAACTGCAGGAGAAAAGGAGCTCCGCTTGGGACACACTGCATTTTCCATCTTTGGGACATTTAACAGAGGTTACAGATCCTGCTAGGCATTGAGTGGTTACCAGGTGGATTATCTGAATTTCACAATAACCTGTTACTGTTCCCAGATTACAAGTGAGGAAGCTGAGGTACAGAGGGGTTAATCAGCTGGCTCGAGGATACATAGCTAGTAGGGAAATAGGGCTTAGACCCCACCGTCTGCGTCCAGAGCCTGTCGTCTTGGCTATGGGGATCTGTAGCCTCCCGCATGGGGCTTCGCAACAAAGTCCTAAATTGGCCATAAAATGATGAAAAGTGTGATGCCACAGGCTGTCAGGGGCCAGGCACCAGAGGTCATTATTGATCGGAGAGGAAGAAAGGCTTAGAAGAGAAACCTTGAGTGATCTTTCGGATTGCAGTGCTGAAACTTCAGTGCCCAGCTTGAGGCTGCAGTACTTCCCTGCTGTTACCCAGGAGTAGTGAGTTCAGTGTCTAATTGCCAAGGTGTGTATGGCCCTTAATCTGATAAAGTCCTTGTTTATATTGTGTTCTGCCTTGGTCTTTGATCTAATAATCTAGATTGAGTTCAGTGAAGTGTCCAAGTCCAAGTCCTGAGTCTTCTCTCTCTCTCTCTCTCTCTCTCTCTCACACACACGCCCCCTTCCAGAATTTGGTACATGGAAAGTGCAACCCATTTCCTACCTACAGATTAGTGACTCTACACCCTGTGCATGAGAACCACCAGTGGAGTTTTAGAAACTGCAGCTGCCAGGACCCACCTCTGTAATAGCTCCACAAGTGATTCTCAGGCAGAGCCAGAGGCAGCCACCTGCTGGAATCCCCAAGTGTCCTGATTGTGGGAAGGGTACCTTATGTGGTGACATGTGGAAGTATGGTAGGGTTTATCATTTCTGTTAGGCAGACAAGGTTTGAGCACCTCTTGTGTAGCAAAAGCAGTATTCTAGGCTCTGCAAAAACAAAAGTGAAATCCTTGGTTAGATTGACCCTGAGACCTGGGGGCATCCAGTGCTTGGCTCTTTCAGGGCCCTGCCCACGGCACAGTCACCACACTACATGTTCCAGAAGGAAAGTGCATGCCCAGGACACCTAGAGTCGTGCATACTCAGCCTGTACCAGCCATGAAGACGCTCTTTCCAGACGACCTCTGTAAAAAGCAAGTTCTCTGAGAGAGCAACTCCGCAATGTCTGGGCTCACAGTCGAATTGGTATCTTTTCCTCTGCGTTGATCCAAGATCCCATTTTCCAGCTTTTGATTTCTAGAGATAAGTGGCCATTTCCTCTATTGTAATTTCCTTTGAATCTTTGTCAATATCCTGTAAAAATAACATATCAGGATGCATTAATGAATTGGCTGTTGACAGGCTTTTTTGCTTATCACTTGTTTTTTCTTTTAAAAAACATTTTCACCTTAGTATTTCTTTTTTGATATGTACTTTTTTTAGTTAATGAAGTATAATGTACATACAGTGTTATATTAGTTTCAGATACACAGTATAATTATTCAACAATTCTCTACCTCACTCAGTGCTCATCACAGTAAGTGTGCTCTTAAACCCTTTATTTCACGCTTCCACCCACCCACCTCCCCGGTGGTGACCACCAGTTTGTTCTCTTTATTTAAGAGGGTTTTTTTGGACTCCTTTTGTTTGTTCCTTTGCTCTGTTTCTTAAATTCCACATATGCAAAAGCATATGGTATTTGTCTTCTTCTGACTTATTTCACTGAGCATTATATCCTCTAGGTCAATCCGTGTTGCAAATGGCAAGACCTCATTCTTTTTTTGTGGCTAAGTAGTATTCCATTGTGTATATATACCACATCTTCTTTATCCGTTCATCTGTGGATGGACACTTGGGCTGCTTTCATATCTTGGCTTTTGTAGATGATGCTACTGTAAACGTAGGGGTGCATGTATCTTTTTGCATTGGTGTTTTTTATTTCTTTGGGTAAATACCCAGTCATGGAATTACTGGATCATATACTAATTCTATTTTTAATTTTTTGTGGCATCCCCACACTGTCTTCCACGGTGGCTGCACCGGTTTGCGCTCCCACCAGTGGTGCACAAGGGTTCCTTTTTCTCCATACCCGCACTAACACTTGTTATTTCTTGTATTTTTTATTTTAACCATTCGGACAGGTTGTAGTTTTGATTTGCATTTCTGTGGTGATTAATGATGTTGAGCATCTTTTCGTGTGTCTGTTGGCTGTTTGTATGTCTTCTTTGGAAAAATGTCTATTCATGTCCTGCCCATTTAATTGGATTATTTGGGTTTTTTGTTGTTGAGTTGTATGAGTTCTTGGTATAGTTTGGATGTTAACCCTTTATTGTGTATATCATTTGCAGATATCTTCTCCCATTCAGTAGGTTGCCTTTTTGTTTTATTGGTTGTTTCCTTCGCTGTGCAGAAGCTTTTTATTTTGATGTAGACTCAGGTTATTTTTGCTTTTGTGACCCTCGCCTCAGGAGACATATCTAGGAAGAAGTTGCTACGGCCATTGTCAAAAAGGTTGCTGCCTGTGTTTGCTTCTAGGATTTTTATGGTTTCAGGTCTCACATTTAGATCTTTAATCCGTTTTAAATTTATCTTTGTGCATGATGCCAGGAAGTGATCCAGTTTCATTGTTTTGCATGTAGCTGTCCGGTTTTCCCAGCACCATTTGTTGAAGAGGCTGTCTTTTCCCCATTGCGTATTCTTGCCTCCTTTGTCGTAGATTAATTGACCACACAGCTGTAGTTTTATCTTTGGGCTCCTCTAGTCTGTTCCGTTCATCTCTGTTTCTGTTTTGGTGCCGGTACCATGCTGTTTTGATGACTAGAGCTTTGTAGAATATCTTGAAATCTGGGGTTGTGATCGCTCCAGCTTTGTTCTTCTCTCTCAAGATTGTTTTGGCTATTCGGGGTCTTTTTTGGTTTCTTACAAATTTTAATATTACCTGTTTTAGTTCTGGAAAAAATGTTCTTAGTATTTTGGTAAGGATTGCATTAAATTTATAGATTGCTTTGGGGTAGTATGGGCATTGTAACAATATTGGTTCTTCCAATTCATGAGCATGGAATATCTTTCCATTTGTTTGTGTCCTTAATTTCTTTCATCAGTTTTTTATAGTTTTCAGAGTACAGGTCTTTGATCTCTTTGGTTCAGTTTATTCCTAGGTATTTTTTTATTTTTGGTGCAATTATAAATGGGATTGTTTTCTTAATTTCTCTTTCTGCTACTTCATTATTAGTGTATAGAAGTGCAACAGATTTCTGTATATTAATTTTGTATCCTGAGACTTTACTGGATGTTTTTGATGCAACTGTGGAAATTTAGATGTGAGTAAATTATGAAGTTCCAATCTACCATTTTCACCAATTTTTGGTGTTATGAATAGTTGCCTCTAAAATCAAGGGCTGAGGATATCTTATATCCCACTCTGCTCTGTTTTAT